CCTCCATCCCACCCTTCCCCTCCGCCTCTCTCACCTTTGCCTAAACATTGTCGGCTGCACAGGAAACTTGCTTGCGGGGGGTGAAAGCTAGGCCAATCGGACAGCGACACACACTCTCCTCGCCGCAGTAGCCTCCTTTTGTCCGAGTTCTGGGCGACGGGAACGGACGGTACAGCAGTATGATGCACACAGAAGTACATGCGTTGAAACTACCGACCAACCATTTTCAACGGTTACGCATTGGTCCATAATTCCTACCACTTGGTAGATGCACTACGGTAACAGTATCGGGTGCATGAAAAAATGCGTCCCAGGTGAGACAACGAAATAATGAACTGGCACTGCTTCTTAGAAGCATTCATGAAAAAAAAACGCCTCTACCTGTAATTGCGGGGGGGTTATTTAGTCCGCCTCCGCCTGTTTCCGAAACAGCTGCAATCAACGAGTACGTATCCAAGTGACCTGTTGACCAAGTATCCTCGGCATCAGTTCCGAAGGTGACGCAAGATACCATGGTAATACCACGCACCCCGGAGCCATTTTCAAAGCTCGGTTGCTCCAAAGCGAGACGGCGGCGGTGCCGAAAACGGCGGCGTGGGAACCGTCTCGTCCAGATCACGAGTCGCATAGTTTTTTGGCGTCTTCTTCGTCGTGGAACAGTCGAGTTTTGAAAATCAAAATCGGTCCCGGGGGTGCGGTATCTTGTGTCGTACGGTCGTATCATGCGCAACGACCCGGTCCGACTGGGTAGTAGTTGAACAGAGTATGAACAGAGTGTTTTTTTGTAATTTCATCATTATGTTTACTTCGAGAAGCGGGGCATATCCATCCATGTCCACATGTTCACGTCCGCCTCGTGTACCTCGAGTTGCGTTTCGGGTACACTGCCCATTTCCCCGGCTAGCCAAACAATTAACTACAGAGTATGCATATAGCGACGACTACATTCAGCATGGTGTGGAATGCCCAGGCTTCCTTCCGACTTCCGACCCTCCCTCGTGTTGGACTGACTGTACATGTGTTGATCATACAACATTCATAAAAAAAAAAAAAAACGGGTTCCTCGTTACCTTCCTACCTTTGGATACATATCTGTGTGGAGACTACATTTGGAAATCTGCGTGGAGACTACATTTGGAAATCTCTTGGAGACTACTATCATATGTCATACTTGTAGGAATGTTGTAATTTAGTCCCTCTTGTCCAGGGTTGAGCAATAAGTATATATTCTTTGTGGAGTGTAGTCTACACAGAGAGGCGAGCCGTGTACATGGTTGTCTCCCACGAAGGAATGGAACCCCCCCCCCAGTTGTCCAAATTGCCGTTGTGCCATCCCTCTTTTCGGGCGGGGTACAAAGTCAACAGCAGCAGTAGTGCAGAGCACGCAACAGAGTTGTGTGAAATGGGAGCTGTAGACGCACATACAGCATGCACACATGCTCTTAGGCGCTGGCTCCCTCTGCACATCTCGGCACGTTCGCAAAAAGGGTTCCGGCTTGTTACATGGTTGACATCCCCAAATCAAAAACTCTGCTGAGTACCATAAAATATACGCGTAATACATGGCTCATTCATCTCCCCTCGAACACCACCATTGGGGGCGCCAACAGCTACCTGACCAAAACCGCTGCCGATCGTCCGAACAATCGGAGCTTGCGGTGGGTGTACTTTCTGCAAAGCCTGTTGTTTGGTTTGGGTGCGCACCAAGCAGACGGCAGGACGGCTCTTTGAATTGTGCGAGTACGTGTCATCTGTGTGCCTTCGCCCCGACTTGCTTGTCCGGTTTGTCCACGTTGTGTTCCGGGATGCTTTTGAATACGAGCCAAGAAGCTCAGTCCGGACACCGCTGCATCTCTCTTCCGAAAGCAGCGGGGGATCGGGTTCTACTGCTGTAGCTCTCCCTCTTGTCCACACCAAGCTGTGTGGGGTATTGACATCTACTTCTTCTTGCTTCCTCATCAAAATCTTACGACTGCCGTACGCTTTCCTCGCCCTTCCCCACATCTCACCGTTACGGGTTCTCCGGCCAGCCTGGAGGTATCCGGCAATGTATCAGCACGTCATGGTGTGCATGCAAGCAGCGTGTTGGTCCCTCGTGTGTGAAACCACAAACAACCAGTGCACAGCAGTGCACAGACCATCGGGGACGGAGCAGCCGATAGGTGTCTATTGCTCCGCAATGAGTACCCCCGCATCCTTGAGAATCCATTCCGGCGAGCCCCCATCAGCGCCACTGGCTACACAAGCAACACACGCAGGCGATCCCCAGCAACGGCGAGCGAGGCTGCGCACGAGGCGAGGGAGAAAGGAGATAGAGTAGATAGGAGGCCAGAGACATTTGAGCTGCTCTTGGATCGAGAAAACAATGGGAGGTGAGAGCGGCCGTGAAGAGGCTGGAAGTACCGAAATGGAGACGGTCAGGCTGTGTGGTAGGTTCGATGGCGATGTTTGGGGCTGCATGCTTGCTGTCTTGCCTTACAAGTACAACTGTCCTGTTGTTCTGCTACTTAGAGTAGCTCAGCACCCCTGCTGGATGCGAGGGTGAACGGTGTGCTGCTATCGTTCCCCGTGGCTGCGCAACCTTTTACGTCACAACCGCAATCACCGGAAGAGAAACATCACAGCTTTTAGGTACGGAGGTTGGTTGATCAACAACGAGGTCCATCCAACACACACGGCACCAGCAGCGCTGCTGCCCGACACGTGCGGTACAACCATACCCTTGAGCAGCCCAATGGATGGTTACGCTACACAGGCCGAGTTTGTGCTGATGCTCCAAAATTGAAGCAGCAGTGGTCATGGGTCATGGCCAGCGACCGCCGCTGTCTCTTTTTCCCGTTGGCGTTTTTTTCTTTTTCTTTTGTTCTGTGTTCCTCTCCCCTAGGTGCAGACCGCCCCCCCCGAATCGCCCGTACATGCTTTGTTAGGTAGACTGCTGTTTCTTTTGCTTCGTGTTGTGCACACACGACGAGCGAGGTGCAGTCGTAGCTGCTGTGGTGGAAAAGCAACCAGCTTTGAAATGAAGTTTTGTGCCCATAGTTCTAAAGATTGACGTGCGGACGCGTAATCCCCCCTCTGCCAAAGCTGCCCGTTCTTCAACTCGGCAACGAGCCTTGACATTGCTACTGATGTAGCACTGCTACTGCTGGTGGGCTGTACCCGCGCTCTCGTTAGCTCTCTTGAGCGATGTCGTAGATATGAACAATCGTCTATCGAGTACTTCCTCTTTCGTACGTACTTTGTCTCCCAAGCCAAAGAAGCGCGCGCGCTTGTATTTTTTTTTTTTTTTGTCTCACTTCAAATCAGCGCTCACAGCACTAGTGCCGTTTACTCCAACCCGTGGTCACACAGAAGAGCCCCTCCCTACCCTCCCCTTCTGCGGTACTTTGCCTTCGATTTTTAATGCGAGAAGAGTTCAGCACTCTCTTCCCTCTGTGTACACACGAACTAGCGCTATCCACTAGGCCAGGAGCGGAAGCGAGAGAAAAACTTAACTTTGCAAGAAAAGCTCGCTCACGCCGGGATTCGAACCCCTGACCTGACCTCTAGAAGGTTTCGAGGATACCAACTAGACCACCGGGGCGACCGGCTTTTATGGTCACAGACTAACCAAACGTGTGGCACAATCAATGAACGGGTTGAGAGTCCCACCGATCGCATGTTGTGGGGGTACGACGCTATCGTATTCCTTCCTCTTCCGCCATACCTCACATAGCAGTAGCCTCGCGTGGCCCACTCTCTACTCACGTGCCTGTTCGTCGCCTCATCCCTGCTGCTTTCACATTCGCATCTCCACATACCCGCTACCGGCGTGCTACGCCCCTGCTTTATACGGATGCGAGGTCACTGGTCTAACGACAAGGGCATGCATGACAACGAGTACATGTACACACATCCACACACACCCGGCTCTCCTTGCTCCGTCCTCTCGAGGACGCGTGGTCAATGGTCTAGCAACTAAGGCATGCAACACATAGGGGTCACCCGTCCCCGTCCCCGAGGAGATCGATGGTCTGCCAACTAAAACGTGGGTACACCCCCCCCCCCCCCCCAGCGTCCGTTGACACGTTAGACCGGCCCTCGTCAAAGGCGGGGTCGGCCTACTCCGCAGTCTCCGCAAGCACGGCGGCAGGCCGGACGGATGCCACCTCCACCCCGAAGACGGCCAAAAGAAGGGGCTTCGGTAGCGGCCCCGTGGGCATCGCGGTGGCCACCCTGGCGTGGTACGGGCTTACCGTGGTCTACAGCGTGTACAACACGGCGGTCTTGCAGGTGTTCCCGTTCCCGCTCACGGTGCTCACGGCGGAGCTCGGGGCCGGGGTGTTGCTGATACTGCCGGCGTGGACGCTTGGCGTCATCCGTACGCCCAACCTCCGGATGTCTCAGGTGCGACTTTGAGCTTTGGAGAGGAAGGGTTAGTTTTGCGGGAGAGACCCTAGGCAGGTGCGATTTTGAGGAGGGTAAGGGTAACGTGGTTCTGCTGTGCGAGGTAGGACAGGTCCCGGTTAACTGTATGCGCTGCTTTGTTGGGTGCGGGGCGCGGCTACGGTCTCAACGACTTCGGAATCTAAGGTCCTGTATTATTGATGAAGGCGGGAGACCACAACTGTCATCACTGTTTTGTCAAGCGATTGCACGAATAGGTCACCCCGCATTCCCGTATGCGGCCTGCCTTTTGCGCAAAGATGGAGGCATCGCGGGAACCCACACAATGTATGATTCCCATTTTATACTATGACGGTGCCCCGCCCTACCTTACCCCATGGTACGCCATAGCACCATGGTACTCCCGAACCCCCCATGCCCCCCCCCCCCCCCCCCC